TCTCTGGCCAAACTATTTAAAAATGGCGGGGATATTCTGGATACTCCATCAGGCGCGTGCAATGATGAAGCAGTGCATGGTGACGATTCTCTCTGACCAATCAGCAGTCGGCATTGTTTTCACGTCACATTTTAGTTACATTTCGGCTTACCTCGCCTTGGCTCGCTCAGAACCTCGCTGGAGGTGATACTAAAAAAAGTACCCGAAAGCGTACAGGTGCAACTTTTACACAGTGGAAATCCAACCTAAAGCAAGCCGAGGCGGGTCGAGTCGAGCTGGTACTGTGTAGTGGAAAAGCGGCATTAGTGTGCGCAATGATTTCACACAGAACAGGCATATGTTGTTATGGCATCGTGGCTATAGTGTTCCCACAGCGTCTCGACGCAGCTCGAGTTCCCTTGAAAGGGAACATCTCAGGTGACATATGTAACCCTGGTTCCCCGAAGACGGAACGAAACGCTGAGTCGCCCTGACATACTCCCTGCATGCCTTGATCCACTTGTTTCGCCCTATCAGTCTGTTTTCAGGTGTGCTTTATAGTTTCCTGGTCTATGAAATCACTCGCCTATGACATCTCGTCACACCATTGGACTGATTATACACGTGCTTCACAACGCAATCACGCAGGGGCGTTCCCACAGAGTCTCATCGCAGCATTTCGTTCACTCTTCAGGAAATCAGGATTATATACCTAACCTGAGACGTTTACAAATATTCAAACTTTCTCACTCAATTCAATATTGGTTATTAAATACTGGGTTCACAGATGAATAGTTCTATCTGGTTAGTCTGCATACAGCAGCATCACCATTACAGCACTGCAATTTCAACAGGAACAAACAGTGTCACAGGTAAAAAAAAATGTATCAATATATCCAATCCAATATTAGGCTGGTAAAACCTAAACTAATATTGGTTCTTCTGTAATCACTTCAGGGGAAATATAACTAGGGTTGGGAATCGTGAGAAATTTTCCGGTTCCGGTTCCGATTCCGGTTCCGCCAAACGATTCCGGTTCCGGTTCCGGTTCCCATTCAATTAAAAATATTAGTAAGAGAAAAATCCACAATCCTTTTTGTGTTTATTTCTTATAGTACATGACAAATTAGTTTAACAGACTGGTAATGTAAACAAACTCAAAATATTATTAAGCAATCTTTGCAAAAAAAAAAAAAAAAAATTATATATAAAGGAAATTAAAAAATTCTGCATTCTCTATAATAATTTAGACCTCTCCTTTATTGTATCTCCAACAGTGAAGAATACCCTCTCAGAAGGAATAGTATATGCTTTAACACACATATGTGTGTAGAACAGATTATTTTTTTAAACGGTTTGAATGATTGATTCATAAAGACTTTACTTATTTCATTACTGGATAAATCGGCGCTCTAGCAGTTAATAAACAGAACTGCATGCGTCTTGCGGAAGAACATTGTTGCCGGAGCTACTTCTCTCTGTTTATGTCCATGACGAGTCACGCAGGCATTGGGCTACTCCGCAGCAGCTGCGATCCGCCGGCCAGTCTAAAGAAGTCCGAGTATTAACGCTTATTACAGGCTTTACGTAGTGATTTAAGATAAGACAAAAACACGGTTTGAAAAAAAAACATTATGATGCACTCGCTCATTGTATATATTTTGTAAATTCTGAACACAAAAAATGTACTGACTGCATCTGTTTTGACCACTACCGTCAATGTTTACTCAAACTATAATCTCACTAATTCTGTAACGGAAATCATTTGAATATGTGAAACAAATAAATATTGAGACTGTGATTGTAAAGCAGTTTCATATTGACAACTGCTCTCTCTCTCTCAGCGCAAACAGATTTGAATGTAGGCTTGAGAGTGACTCGGCGGTCGGCGCGCGCAGCGTGCGTGTGTCTGTGTGTGACAAATGCAGCGCGTTTGAGAGCAAATCGCAACTTCAGTGGTGAAGTTTTTGTCATTTAGGAATAAGACGGCGTCTTCTACTCCCAGCACTTCGCCCACATGATGATATCGCATCGGCATCAGAACCGTTTTCGGAACCGAAACTTAGGAATTTTGCACGGTTCCGGTATTTTTTCAAAAACACAACCGGTTCTGGAAAAGAACCGGTTCTCGGTTCCCAACCCTAAATATAACAAGCTGCAATAGTGTTGAATATGGCCCCTTTAAAGACGATAAAGCCGTTCCAGACATTAGAAACTAAACAGCTGCAAGTGTGCATTTCAGCAGCCGACATCTAACTGACTAAGACCAGACAACTGTCTCGCACCTTTGGCAGAAGAAGCCATGCACTCTCTCACAAACACGTACGTGCTTTCACACACAAAGTTCAGTTCATGAACGACACTTTGGGTTAACCCACATCCCATGAAGGCTTGCCTGAATGCTTTGGGTTCGACTGACTAATTGATGGCATTGTGACATCACAACCGCAGCTAGGGGGAAAAAAAGCACTATTGTTTATATCTGAATTCCTTCCAGATGCATTGCTTACAAGTTCAACGCAGTAGCCACAACCACAGACCACAAAAAGGAAGCCAAAAGAATATGTGAATATTCTCCATTTTCCATAATGTAAATCATTTTGATGAACAGTTGTTGTTGCCTCAAATGCACAGAAAAAAAAACAGTCATGATAGGTTTCCTGTAAAAGATCTAAGCTTATTAAAAAGGCCATCAATAAAAACCCTGATGAGAAAATAAAATGCCAATTGATCAATTAACCCGCCAACCTACTTAATCAATTCCCTGTCACTTACTTTTGTAAAGACGGGATTCAGTTCGGCTTCAGTGGGTGGAAATACTAACGGCAGATTGTTGTTCTACAAAAGTCGACATCCATTCCAGTAAGTGTTAAATGAATGCATTAGAAACCTGCTTTAGAACATGCAGTCTGTGTCGAGGAGAAGCGCTCAGCAGATAGAGGCTGCAAACTCAGCGATAAATATTCTACGGCAGAGACTGTCTGGCCTGATGCTGCGAAAGCGATAAAATGCTCTTCACAACCCGCAGTAAAATTCAAACAGCGTGGCCCGGCACAAATATCATTCTCCCAGCTCACTTGTGAGTCAGCGCCAAGTTTGTTTTCCATCAGACTTCTGCCAGTAAGACGGGCTGCGTTCGCTTCAGCCTGAGCAAAGAACTATGGGATTTTTATGTTCATAGCAGTTGCTTCACAAGTGCTAGCTCAAATTTAGCTTACTTACTGAAACTGCGTGCTACAGCTGGCACATTTTACATTTGCCAAAATGATAAACAAATGGAACAGCTGAATTACATAATTTTAGTACCATAAGCCTCTCCATTTAGCAAAAAAACAAAACAAAAATCCATTATCATTAAAGCCTATCAAATTATGGTTACCAGAGAGAGCCTCAATTACTAATAATGCCCATGCTGGCCAAATACTGTAGAGACAACAACGAAAAACGTGAATATGGACCTTCCTTTGGTTCTCTTTCAAAGCACTTAACTGCCATAAAACAGAAATGAGCAGCGCTTGATGAGTGAATGGACCAGAACGCTGAAACATCGCTCGTTTTTTTCTCTGGAGCTCGTTAAACAGCAATGCATATACGTACTCAATTAAAACATTTGCCTAATTGTGCCTCAGATTAGTGGTCTGGATATGAGCGATAGCTGCTTATTGTCAGAATATCTCTCCCTCTAGAACTGGGTTTTAACACTTTAAAGGAGTAGTTCACTTTAAAAAAAAAAAAAAACTTTTGCTGATAATTTACTCACTCCCATGTGATCCAAGATATCCATGTCATTCTTTCTTCAGTCGAAAAAGAAATTAAGGTTTTTGAAGAAAACATTCCAGGATTTTTCTCCATATAATGGATTCAAGGTCTAAAAGACGGTTTCGGTGCAAATTGCAAACTGTTCAAAGGGCTTTAAACAATTCCAGACGATGAATAAGGGTCTTATCAAGCAAAACGATCACTCATTTAAAAAACAAATAGCAAAGTTTAATTTTTATAAGCTCAAATGGTCGCCTTGCTCAGTTCTGTGACGAACTCGTTTATCAAAATGAACAAATCTTTTTTCGTGTCATTTGGTTCATTCAATGAACGAAATGAACGAATTGACTCGGAAAAAATATTTGTTCATTTTGATGAACTAGTTCGAACAGGAGAGTCACAAACGCGCATCTCAGAACAGAGCAAGGTGACCATTTGAACTTATAAAACTTAAACTTTGCTATTTGTTTATTAAATGAATGATCGTTTTGCTTGATAAGACCCTTATTCATCGTCTGGAATCCCTTTGAACAGTTTGCACTGAAACTGTCTTTTGGACCTTGAACCGTTTGGTTCCCATTGAAGTCCATTATATGGAGAAAAATCCTGGAATGTTTTCAACGAAAACCTTAATTTATTTTCGACTGAAGAAATATTGCTTTAAAATACACCCATTCACCGTATCTGCACTGGACACATTTTTGACATGAGCCGCCATTGATGCTGCTGTCTACACTGCACTACATAAACTGGTACATTTGTCTTTCTGATGATGCTCTCTATGCTATTGAGGCGCCCTGTGTAGTGCGTAGCCTCGCAATGCCCCGTTCACTTGACCTGTTTAACTTTTGAAGGTCTAAATGAAGTGAATTTTGGCTTGCAGTTCCGTAACCAAAGCTGAATGGCTTTTCCCATGTACCGCGTCAGTCATGGTCACAGCTGCTAAACACCTCCATTCTGCTTGTTCATTCAAACAACTTAGTTCAGTATTTTGCTTGGGAACTCAAAGACTGAACACTTGTAGGCCTGAAGTTCATCTAAGTTCAGCCATGCAGGGAGATTGGTATGTGTTTCACGGACAATAAAAACAACCTTACTACCAGTGAAGGATTTCATCAGTCAAAACACTCTTGTGTTCAAATGTGTAAAAGTACGTAAGTAAATTATGTCAATGGTTTTACAAAGAAGTTTATTTTAATATGCCTGCCATTTAAAAATCAATGTGTGGTGAGTGCCATGTGCATCAACCAATGATTAGTTACCGTGATTGTCGTTTTCAGTGCTGCACATTCGGGCCATCTCGGCGGGGTGGGCCTGTTTGGCATTGCGCCCCTTTGACATGACCGAGGAAGGCTTCACCACCCGGGCACCGCTGGAGGTGTCCATGCCTGTTTAGGACACAAAAAGATCAGCCCGGAGGAAAACGCATTATCTGCATACAAACGAAACAAACACAAATATGTTTTCACTGTATTTGAAAGTATTTAAATAGGGGATTACAAACACCTGCTGAGACAGTACAGCACACACACACACACACACACACACACAGAGAGAGAATGGCATAAATTGCACATTCACACACATCTAATTTTCGTCGCCTGATTGCATGGGGGAAAATTACAATTACAGTCTTTCAGCACGGTTGTCTTCCCATGCCAGCGAAACTTCCTTATTGAACGTGTTAATGGGATAGTTCACCCAAAAAATCTATCTATCTATCTATCTATCTATCTATCTATCTATCTATCTATCTATCTATCTATCTATCTATCTATCTATCTATCTATCTATCTATCTATCTGTCTGTCTGTCTGTCTGTCTGTCTATCTATCTATCTATCTATCCATCCATCCATCCATCCGTCTGTAGATCTATCTATCTATCTATCTATCTATCTATCTATCTATCTATCTATCTATCTATCTATCCATCCATCCATCCATCCATCCATCCATCCGTCTGTAGATCTATCTATCTATCTATCTATCTATCTATCTATCTATCTATCTATCCATCCATCCGTCTGTATATCTATCTATCTATCTATCTATCTATCTATCTATCCATCCATCCATCCGTCTGTAGATCTATCTATCTATCTATCTATCTATCTATCTATCTATCTATCTATCTATCCATCCATCCATCCATCCATCCATCCGTCTGTAGATCTATCTATCTATCTATCTATCTATCTATCTATCTATCTATCTATCTATCTATCTATCCATCCATCCGTCTGTATATCTATCTATCTATCTATCTATCTATCTATCTATCTATCTATCTATCTATCCATCCATCCATCCGTCTGTAGATCTATCTATCTATCTATCTATCTATCTATCTATCTATCCATCCGTGTCTACAGTATCCTATCTATCTAGTATCCATCCATCCATCCATCCATCCATCCATCCGTCTGTAGATCTATCTATCTATCTATCTATCTATCTATCTATCCATCCATGTGTATACAGTATCTATCTATCTATCTATCTATCTATCTATCTATCTATCTATCTGTCTGTCTGTAGATCTATCTATCTATATATCTATCTATCTATCTGTCTGTCTGTAGATCTATCTATCTATCTATCTATCTATCTATCTATCTATCTATCTATCTAATCAATTCAAATTGCTTTATTGGCATAACTGTACATATTACAATATTGCCAGAGCTTGGAACACATAGTATAATAATAAAGACATAAGGAACAATAAAGTAGCCTATTATAACAACTTAAATTAAATGTACAAATTAAATTAATTGCACAATTAACAGTGTCACGGATTATAATTTCTGTGAACATTTGATACCACAGTATCTATCTATCTATCTATCTATCTATCTATCTATCTATCTATCTATCTATCTATCTATCCATCCATCCATCCATCCATCCATCCATCCATCCATCCATCCATCCATCAATCCATTTAACCATTCCGTTTTTTATGATTACTTATGTTTGTCCTACTTACTACACCTCTGATAATTAGAATAGCACACATGCACACACACACACACACACACACACACGTATAAAACCAAATTAATTGAGTTTTGGCTGAATGTATTTTTTTCACAATCATCCACCCAGAAGGGAAATGGCCAGCTCATTGCAATGAATGAAGCCTGACAATGACTGATTAAAATAAACAGCGCTGATTAGAATGTGATCATACTTTCTTATTAACTTAAATCAGTGTCATTTCAGTTCTTCATTACGTTGAGCCTAATGGGTCACTAATTTGTGTCTTTTTAAACTGCCATTAATTTAGTGTTCTGTTATTTGCAGAACAGTGGCCCGGCATATGGCTGCATGATTTATCATGTGTCCATTGAGATTTCATGAACATCACAGATAAATGTTTCGCCCTAATGCATGCCGTGGGAATGTTTCGCTGTCAGAGGCACTAATCCATTTCCGGTGAGCGCTAATTGAGAGGTTTACTTTTGCCATTGAAGTGTGATCATAACAAACTTTCCAAAGATTAAAAGTAGAAATGCTACAGCACATGAACTGACACACACACACACACACACACACACACCATTAACCATCTCAGGATATGCGAACCAATTCAAATGCCAACCAAAACAGGTACTGCACACAGGTTCACAGTGTTATTAAACCACAAAGTGGGCCCGCATGCTGGATCACCATATCAAAGAATGGCCCTCCCATCACCTCACCCACATAGAAGAACGATGGATCTTCAAGTGCTGAAGATCATTAGACCAAATTATTTATGGCCCAGAGTCTGAAGCTCATTTGTGAGCCAGAAGTTTGTTCCAGAAAGGAAGAGAGCAATAAGGTAATAGGAAAAGCAGCTGGTAGGACTAAGTGCTATGGTATTTGGGGAATTTATCACACACTTTAGAAAGGCTGTGGATGGATGTATGCCTACACAATCAGAGAAACACACGCGGCTCATTCCTGCAGTGCCTATATGTCCAACTTCTGAAGAATACATATGTGTAAGTTGTAATTTCATGAAGTATTTCTATAAAGAATAACCCAGACTTTATGAAATGCTCTGGTCAGGCTCAAGCACTTCATACAATGGCAGGAAAAAATATGAGTGTGTGCTTACTTAACAGATTAAGTTTATTATTGCTTATTGAGGAACTGATTTGGCTTACACGATGATGTCAACTTTTTATATTATATATATTTCTATTATAAAAGCAGTTTCCATCCAGTCAGGATGAGATGTTTTACTAATAACACAACATCACACAGTTCATAATTGCTCATATTTTAGACATTTACAAATGTTGCTTTCCCATGATGTCACTTTCTGGAGGACGATGTCATTAAGGAACTGGATTTGTATGTTATTGAGGACACAGAAGAAAATGTAGGCTATACTATTGATTGTTGATTAAAACAATATTCCCCCCCAAAAAACAAAAACTCCTGCAATATTTAATTGTTTTTCCTTTTCACCCCATTGGGAAAACGAATCTTGAATTCTGAAAATGTAATATAGGCTACTAGGATATATAAAACAGGGATATGAAAAGGTAGGCCTACTACAGTAAGGATGACCCACATAAGTGCTCAAACAGTGTGTGAGTGTTTATATCCCTGACAGTTCATACATTTCTCTTGTTTATGTAATTCCCCCAAAACAGCTTAATACCTTGTAACACATTAAACCACGCTACTTTACAACTAAAGGCGAGCTTATATGCCTTTATTGACAGTATTATTGACAGATAATCGACTTCTGGAAGACCACACCTACCTGGAAAGCCACCCGACACTGGCGGGTGAGCGGGTCACCCACGTGGGGTCAGGCTGTAGCCTTTACTCTCGCGTCGCGCCGCTTGATTTACATGGCAAACACACCTGGCGCGCGGGGGGTCACGGACAGACGGGCGTTACGGTCGGTAGCCACACTCACAGCCCCCCGCTGTGCGTGTCCGAGGAGGGAGATGATGATGAAGAATAAGAAGAAGGTGGAGGAAGAAGAAAAAAAGAGCAAGCTGATGCAAAAGCCAACAAGCCGAACACTTTCACCGTGTTTCCAGACTGCACTCGGCGCCCCTCTTCATTAATATGTAATCCACGAGCTCTCTCGTATGAAAATCCAACTCAAAAGCACGCGCACAAATACGCAGAAACGCCGGCATAAAATATGAAAATACAAGAAGCTTTCATAGGCAGTGAAGCAAAATGGCGACTTTAATACGAAGGAGGAGTAAAAAAAAAAAAAAAAACCCTCGCGCTGTTGCTAAAGGAGGCACGGGGATATGTTTAGTGCAGTATAATCGAGGGTGGAAGAAGTGAACGCGACGGAAAGAAAAGCGGAGGGGAAGAAGAAGAAGAAGGCACAGCGTCGCGCAGTTTCGCCGCAGCCCCGCGATTCCTCTCCTTACCTCGGGATTATTCCGTGTATTTGTTTGATAGGGATATTATCTCCGCGACCGTGTACAGTAACAGTAGGCTATGGGCGCTGGGTCACGCGCGTATCCGCCGCCGCCGCTGCCTTTGACAGTTGTGACTACAGTCGGCAGGCAACTTGCAAACTCTCGCGTTATTATTTATGATCACTCAATTTTGATATCAGGCCAATCATTTTGGCATTTCTGCATAATAAAGCCCCTGCCTGAATGGAAGCGTTTGATGCGGCTCGACGTCATGCCGCTCAGTTATGACGAAAAGGCTTCGGCTACAATGTAGCTTTATATCGCACACATCATTTGATAATGGTCTAAACATTATGACGTAGTCGGTGCGATTCTGAGTTTTCAGAAAGATGACGTAGTTTCTAAGGTAATAACATGAGAATATTAATAAAATATTTATATTTTTTATCATACATTTTGATTTTGACATAGTGCTCGCAAATTATTTTCTTAACCAATAATAATCTGGTCCCAAAAAAAAATAAAAAAAATAGGCTAAAATAGCCTAATAATCTTAGAATGTTCTTAACATGACGTCGCATCTCTAAAAAAATAGGCTACTACGTTGTTGGTCTTTCTTGCCAAAATAAAACATAACTTATAAAATTTATGTCTACACAGTTATTATTTTGGATGATTTTATTTATTTTTAATTTTTTTATATGTATATTTATGTCTACATTACATGTCCCATAATGTGTTACCCGACTTGACATTGACCTTTGCATTGTGCATTGACCTTTTTAATTGTACATTCATCTATCTCTGTTCTGTCTCTACTGTTGCAAACCGTAATTTCCCCATTGTGGGACAAATAAAGGTTTTTCTTATCTTTCTTATCTTATCTTATTAAAAGGAACTTTTGTATTGAAAATGTTAATATTTTAAGGCTAACAAAATACACATTTTCTCAAATTCTTTTATTTTACCTATATAGGCTACTCAAATTATGAATATTTTCTAAATAATCAGAAACTGAGGTCTCACTTTCCACACCTACGTCACGGGCTCCTTTAAATGGCTTAATAGAGACTTTGACCCATCTTTTTTTTTCCCCCTTCACCCTATGACGTAATGTAACTTCTACTATTACTGCGTCCACCAGGAGGTGGAGGCAAATGACTGCTTTTCTGAGGCTGTTTTTGAGATTTCCAAAATAATTAGTCTTTTATTCTGGCTGCAAATGGAATAATTTGTCCAAATGTAATCTCAACCCCTCGAGAAAATAAAAACACCCGAAAGTAATCATTTAATTAGGCAGACGAGCTCTTGGATTGCATGACAACATGCTCTGTTTACTTATCTTATCTGTTTTACAGCATTAGTTAATACGTGTGAATTTACCAAGAGGTTTTCCATCATTACCTTCTTCTCCACTGTAAAAAATATGATCAATAAGTTATGACAACGTATGTTTTACATTTCTTTAACTCAAGTTTATAAGATTCAACTCATTTTTTAAGTCAGTTTAATGTAATTTAAGTTGAAATGACTTACACGTACATTTATTGTACTTAAAAATATAATGCCACAACTTTTTACAGTATCTCTCATAAAAGTGTCCACTAGTCAGCAGTAGTGCATCGTTATATGACAGTATATGAGTTTATGACAGATGATAACAGGCGATGAGCACTTAACACATCTGTGGGCTGGACAGGCCTGTCCCTCAAACCATCAATCACATGACTTTAATAATGCACATCCTGTAGACTTTTGTATGTTATTAATACATCAGTCATTTCAGCACAATTCACCATAGCACCATAGCAGAGATATGTAACGGTTTAGCAAAGCCTTGAATTATATCCACCAGAGGCCATAAAAAGCATGGGAACCCTGTGTTAGCGACTGGCGAAGGCCGACCTACTCTGAAATTACAAACAGGGTTACAAAGTGCTCTTACATAATGGACAGTTCATCTCATTTGGACACATTCCCATAGCCCTGTGGTTATACTGTATGTTAGTCCAGCTGTATTGTACTCCCATGAAATGAAGTAAAGCAAGCTGTGTGAAAAACTGCTCCAGCGCTGACTAACTCACTATTCAAATCCAAAAATAACAAAAGACATGGAGAGAAATGTCTTTCAGCTGCTGAGATTGGCAGTGTGTGTGCTATTTTAGTTTGATCGAGAGCTGTTAGTTCAAAGGTAGAGCAGTTTCCGTTGGGTTTGCTGGATGTGATTCATATCAATATCAATTTACTTTCCAGGGGTCTTTGTCTGGGATCCTCAGGGGGTCCGCCATTTACGGCTTGATCACAAGCTGCTTTTTTTGTGAAAAAAGTCAACAGAAATACAATATTAAATGCTAGGTAATACTATTTTTGACCAAGGCAAAGGTTTTTGAAATGAAAGTCATGCTGAATGTTGCCCCTCCCACACTGAAATACATTTATATATTAAAATATAATTGTACAGTGATTAGTATTAGTACTATATTTAAAAATAAATAAAGGTTAAAAAGTGTGACTCTTTAAATTACATCAATAATGAATATTTGAATGACTTTCATATTCATTAATATAGCACTCAAAGACCATGCAATGTAATTAACTTAACTTTTATTAATTAAAATATTAAGAATAATATAAAAAAGTTAGTATTATTAATACGTATACATATTTAAATTCATTTTTGATATTAAAATGCTTTGAATGTATTCATTATTTTAAATGTATTATTTAAAATAATAATAATTTTAAAACTATATATAGTATATATAGGCCTACTGTTTTTTTTTGTTTGTTTTTTACAATCCCCATTTCTCTCTTACTTTCCGTTTTTCCCATCATATAATGCAGCTGAAATTAATGGTTATGGATGAATATGGACTGACAACTCATAAATCTGCTGATATTTGTGTGTTGCTGATAAAGCAGAATTGTGTTGATAGATCTTGAAGACCATTTAGCAGATTTCTCAACACTTACTGGCCAGTTTACCATCAGGTGTCCACTTACCTTTGAGTCACGACCCAGTGGCTGCAGGGGAGAGGAAGAGTCAGAAGAAGACATAAATCATTAATAAGATGGCTTGAGAGATGCAGCCTGTATCTGTACAAGTGTGTGTGCGATAGAGTGATGATCGATCACGCCGATCTTTCCGATCTTCCATCTTAAATAGATGGAGTGTGTAACATGTGTTCTGTCGAGCACAATATGCACAGAAACCGCAGGGGAGAGTGCAGTCATATATCACAATAGCAGTTCAGGGATCTCAAATAAATGCTGCCGTCACTAGCTCACTGACAGAGATACATACGCGTCCACGCTGCGCCTGCATGACTAGTTCTGAATTTGCCCCGTCAAAGACGGTGTTCTGAATAATGAAAGAGAACATACACCGAAAGTCTTGCTAAAATAGCGCAGAGCACCCGGGGATTTGTTTGCTCGTTTTATAGAGGATTTGGATGGTGACTGACCAGCTAAACCACCTGAATACCAGATTGGCCAAGCTGGGACACCATATAGACCAGCTTAAACCTGCTAAAAACTGGTTCAGACATGTCTTTCCTGTTGGAGATCATATTACATGCCTTTTTAAAGTATTCTTAATTGTTATTACTTCAAGCCACACATTAATGTATGCCACCTTCAAGTCTCCATGGGATTTATTTCTCTCTCTTCACTTCCTGATAAAAAAACAGGAAGATTTAAAGTGTATTTAATGTGTTTTCCCTTTATGGTTATGTCACACACTGAAACTTTACTCAAAAATGGTAAAAAACATGACAAAAAAATAGAACCCCATGGCACATGACATGTGTTTTAATGTTCATACGATTTTTTTGGTCACACGTGATATAAGGTGTCTTTAAATATTATGCACTTAATAAAAAGTCAAGTGCAAGGAAAGTTTATTTATATAGCACATTTCATGAGATGGTTCTCACTGCAGAACATGAAATCCTCGGGGAGGAGTCGGATCCAGATCCAACTCCTCCCACCTTACATATACCTACACCTACCCAGCTCCACCCCCTGATCCCTAATCCACCCTTAGACCTACCCAACTCCACCCCCTGATCCCTAAACCCACCCCTAAACCTACCCATCTCCACCCCCTGATCTCTAACCCACCCCTAAACCTACCCAGCTCCACCCCCTGATCCCTAACCCACCCCTAAACCTACCCAACTCCACCCCCTGATCTCTAACCCACCCCTATACCTACCCAGCTCCACCCCCTGATCCCTAACCCACCCCTAAACCTACCCATCTCCACCCCCTGATCCCTAACCCACCCCTAAACCTACCCAACTCCACCCCTGATCTCTAACCCACCCCTAAACCTACCCAACTCCACCCCCTGATCTCTAACCCACCCCTAAACCTACCCATCTCCACCCCCTGATCCCTAACCCACCCCTAAACCTACCCATCTCCACCCCCTGATCCCTAACCCACCCCTAATCCTACCCATCTCCACCCCCTGATCCCTAACCCACCCCTAATTCTACCCATCTCCACCCCCTGATCCCTAACCCACCCCTAAACCTACCCATCTCCACCCCCTGTTCCCTAACCCACCCCTAAACCTACCCAACTCCACCCCCTGATCTCTAACCCACCCCTAAACCTACCCATCTCCACCCCCTGATCTCTAACCCACCCCTAAACCTACCCAACTCCACCCCCTGATCTCTAACCCACCCCTATACCTACCCAGCTCCACCCCCTGATCCCTAACCCACCCCTAAACCTACCCATCTCCACCCCCTGATCCCTAACCCACCCCTAAACCTACCCAACTCCACCCCTGATCTCTAACCCACCCCTAAACCTACCCAACTCCACCCCCTGATCCCTAACCCACCCCTAATTCTACCCATCTCCACCCCCTGATCCCTAACCTACCCCTAAACCTACCCATCTCCACCCCCTGTTCCCTAACCCACCCCTAAACCTACCCATCTCCACCCCTGATCCCTAACCCACCCCTAAACCTACCCAACTCCACCCCCTGATCTCTAACCCACCCCTAAACCTACCCATCTCCACCCCCTGTTCCCTAACCCACCCCTAAACCTACCCATCTCCACCCCTGATCCCTAACCCACCCCTAAACCTACCCAACTCCACCCCCTGATCTCTAACCCACCCCTAAACCTACCCATCTCCACCCCTGATCCCTAACCCACCCTAAACCTACCCAACTCCACCCCCT